TTTGTTTAGACATGGGAAGTGATGCCAGAAATTATTTTGGTTTTGTAGAGGGCAAGTTTTCCAAGCTTGTGCATTATACGTAAATTCTTTCCAAGAATCAACAACCTAGCAATTTTATGTTGAGCATAAGGCAAAAAATTCAGTGAATGCTTTGATAGAGTTTCATCAGAAATTTATAGTATATGCAATCATAAATTTGAAAAGAAGGAAAAATCAACTCTTGAGTCTGTTAAGCTACATGTAATTACTGCACAATTTCAATACAGTAATAAATAATAATGGGAATTTATCCCCAAAATAACTTCTCAAGATGATACACAGGTAGCCGGCCCAAGCTCTCTATATGAACCACACAAGGAACACAGTATGGCATATCGATTTAAAAGGATTTGTATGCCTGGGATTTTCTACTAGGTATCCATGGAGGTAGGTAAAAGTGAAAATATTTAATAAAAATGGCTTACCTTATTCCATACGTGTGTTGTTTGTTCCTGGTGTCGTTATTTTACCGATTTAACTTGATTTAAGCGATATTTTTTAATCCTGGTTTTCTCTTCTTTAATCCTGGTTTTTTCTCTTGTATGCTTCGCGGAAAACGATTGGCCTTTAACAATTGGCTGCACTACAAATCTTTATTTGGTCTAATGAAAAGGAATTACATGATGCGTAAGAAATCTAACTATACGAAAGATTCCTAAAATTTGCATGGAAGAAAATAATGAAAGTTCAGTTGGTAAAGGACATAACATTACTGCTGCGGCGTTATTCAGCCAAATTGTTTTCCGATCAAAGAATAATAAGCAGGACAGTGACCAGTTCAGCAGGTAAGTGAAGAAAACGTGCTTGTAAACTAAACGCGTGGTCAAAAACTGTGGTCAAACAAAAATCAACTAAGAATTAATATTGTCATTTAGTAAACGACGTAGTGTAGACTAAGATCAATCCCCCCCTCTCAGAGAAGTCCGTTGCGCAAATTGGAAGAAAAAAAAAAAAATTGATGAAAGTGCGTTGAGGGAAGCTCTTGGAGTGAGGCGTTCGAAAAACGCCATTCGGACCGTTTCTACAGAAAGCGGCGAATATTTGTTTATTTCTTGTTGCCAAGGGCCGAAATAATGAAAATTTGCAACTAAAACTGCAGAAAGAAACTTGTAAATACTCTCATTCTTCACCGAAAAAGCTACCCCCCTCCCAAAATGGAAATTTCAAAAATCTAACAAATATTATGAAGACGAAATTTCATCAAGTTAAATTTTCCTAAAGATCTGATTACTTCTGATGAAGAAACTGAAATTGACAAAACCGGAAGGCCATGTATGAATAAAAGTTAAGATAGTTTTTTTCAGAATCATGAAAAGATGGCTGCCCATGTGAACACTCTTCTCTGCTCTATGAAAGCTAATGATTTGATTTGCATTTTACCTCGGTTGCCAATTTATTTTTGTTTTGTTTTGAATACATGCTAACTAATCGATGAGAATTTTTTTTGGGAATAAATGTTACCACTTTACTGAAATATTGTTTCAAATACATGTGATGGTTCAAAGAGTACATATTATTTAAATTCAACATACGTGAGGTTTAATAACGGAGGTTTGACGACAGACGAACAAAAAGCCGTTCAAGTTAATAAGTCGTTTCAAAAAGTCAAGCCTTAACGACGTTAACAAATTAAAGGTTGGTTTTTTTCATTGTGGTCTTTTGTTGTTCCGCTCATCGTAATTTTCCCCCTGCGTTTTAATACGTAATACTGCCACGTAGTTTGCACGTTCTGTAGCCCTAACGTGGTCAAATAGTGAAATATTGTAATGATGCCAGATATTCTAAAATTATTACTGTATGTGGAAATAATCTCATGGAAAATGTGCGCGGACATCATCGTCCTTGCAGAAGAGCCCAAGTGTCGTTCGAGGCTAGCCACTAAACTTCAAAGCGAAGCCAGCTTGAACTTGCACATCTTTTTAGTGCGAACGGAGATTTTTTGAGTAGTATTTTTTTTACTTGTTTGAGGTAAAGTGTTCAAATAAGCAAAAAGAAGCAAATGTTTCTTTTCACTTTTTTCTACTTTTGTGTGTGCAACAGTGATGGAATGACGTTTCCTCCATTTAGTTCACTGATACATCACAAGTGAAATGTCCTCGTTCGCGTTGATGATTGGACGAACGATTATTTTTTCACTGTGAAATTTTATCCTTCTTACTCCTGATTGGTTACTTTGGTACTTAGCAGAGGATAATTCTTGGTACCTCAAAAATAGATGGTCACTTGGTACGTTTACACATAAGCGCAAAAGATTTGACGGCCTCAGTGTCTGTAACACTTCCTTCTGTAACTTCCAGATTCTTGATGACTTGATGGATGTTGAAAGATCGTGTTCACATTTCTGAGGGCAACGCCTGACAGCTGCTGAAATGCTACTGAAAGATCATGGTGGCATCAGAGACGTAACTAATACTGTACGGACTGAAGTGTACCGGGATGACATTGTGTTACTACATCGTTCCCTTTTTCGTTTAGACCTCGAAGAAGTTATAGAACTTTATTTATCAGGAGGTGACAGAATCTAAAATGAAATATTGTCATCTAGATTGCCATTCTCTTACACTTCTCTTACGCGTCCTCAGCGTGTTAAATGTCGAAATAGAAAGATATTGATTTTCAACTTTCTAGACCCATCACCTAAATAGAATGGTCCACCAGTGCCGTCGCTGATAGGAATCATAATGTAAGAAACCACCCATCAGTGGTGTCTCTTGGCTTGATTACGAGTTATTTGCTTCAAATGGTCCTGCTAGCAACATTTCGCAAAAACTTGTTGATCTTGATTTCAAATTCTGTGACATGCACTTGTATTTTTTTTTTAACTGAGCTTGTAAAAAGCGTTCCCATCAAGTACCCACTTGTCACTGATTTGACCATGAAGTTGGATGACTCGCTAGTTTCGAGCTGCACAATAATTAACATACTTCATTGTCATCAAATCACTCACAAAATATAGTAGGATTGTCAATAAAGGCGTCAGTAACCGGTGGATTGGAAACACAACCTCTATTCCAAGCAATATTTCAGTATAACTTGAACTCGAATATGGTTAGCCCAACGTCATCTGAGTTTACAAGTAAGTCTCCAAGACTATATGTTGAATCACGAAATAATATTTCAGGAGCGTTCTGCTACAAACCCTGAGGGGCCTGTCAGAGAGAAACCTATCCAATGTTCATCACTGTCATTATTTAAACGGATGACCGAGCTGTGAGTAAATTACTGATTGACGTAATTTCCTTGAGGCTAGATTAAGCAGTCCAACACATCTTTTCTGGTCACGTTGTGTCAGAGTTGCTCAAGGTATAAAATGAAAGAACACCCTTACAAATAAAATCTATACTTGCTGTTAAGATTACGGTGAAATTATTGTTGAACTTGCGGATAAAGTAATCTAGAAATGAAACATGCCTGTGAACTTTCAATTGGTTGTATTGAAGGAACACTTGCCGCGTCATTGTAAGGCTTGTTAAGATTTAGGCAACTAAAGAAGTCCATAAAAGTCTCGAGGCTTTTTTCGGTCTTACTTCGTATTACTATATAATAAATGTTATCGACCTGTTGCTGAATATTAGACTCTTATCTTTTTTGCGTTTTTATGGGCCTCGTAAATGACTCGTCTCGGTCCATTAAAACGCAGAAATACAACAATGATTTAGTTGGTTTTATACTATAAATTTTTTAAGAATTTTATTACACAAAGACGGTAACAAAGCCTTTTGAAAATGTCTTTGCGAGTTGATCAATTAGTTGCGCGTGACAGAACTTTTTTTGTGGCGCGCATGCAAACAAACGAAACCATCATGATGAAAAGAATTATCCAAAGATAGCCGGCGTACACAAACTTGAACTGACGCGTATTTGCCCGTTCTAGGTTAGCTTTTTAGATCAAAAAAGACCCGAGATATTATTTTTTAGCGAGAGAAATCGCTAACAGTAATTTAAAAGTACGAGCAAGAGAATTATCAGTGTACCGCTTTGTTTGCAAATGAACTTATCCGTGTTGTGCTTCGTTTACAAATGAACTCGTGTCCGATGACCTGGCAACATGAACACAATAGTTTTCTTCGAGTTATGCAAGTTGTTATCGGCCAGTGAGTTAAATCTGTCGAATTTTGTTATATATTGAGCTCAACAGCCTGTCTGATTGGCTACCCGAACCACGGCAAGATGGGCTCATCTTGCCGCGGCTCGGGATCGCCCGCCTTTATCAGGGGCAAAGAAAAGATTGGAGTCGCAAAACAGCAAAGAACAGAGAAAGCGTTAATGATTCTCACTGGTTCACCGCGCCACAATCTTCCGGCTATCGAAATAAACGAGTCAATCTTGATTCTTATCTTATCGAAAATGTTTTTGCTATACAATAAATGTTATTGACCAAGCCTGTTGCTGGATATTAGATTCTTATCTTTTTTGCGTTTTTAGTGGGCCTCGTAAATGACTCGTCTCGGTCCATTAAAACGCAGAAATACAACTCGGCCAATATCCAGCCATCTTGACTTCACGCTTGGTCCTTGACGTATGTGTATTTTTGCATTGTGAACGCAACAAAGAAGTCAAACTCCTGGGCTCAGTCCGTATTTCCTACGTACATTTCGAGCAAATCACTCCAACAGCTCTCCGTGGCGTGCTAACATCATTCTTTTCTATTTCAATGATTTTTTTTTACCCGCGCCACACGGATTTGGCCGAATACACATGGGAGGGACTGCTCGCAGTCTAAATCCATAAGCGTAATAACAACGGGAATTATGATAATCACAAATCTTCAGCCGACAAACGACGTGCTAAAGTAGTTCAGTTCATTCACTGATACCTACAATGATGAGGACATTGATCGAAACAGGGAATTATTTTCACGACGTTGTCATGTGGTTTGATTTACATGAGTTTTGCTTCACTAACCCGCTTTAAGATTAGCTAAGAAAACTCACACCACCCTCGAAACTAATCACTGCATGGAAAATCTTAACCAAAATCTTAATGACTTGAATCAGCCAAGGGTTACGATTTCCTTTCTAATCAATAACCACCCAGATAAAATGTCCGCGCCCTAGAAGCTCACAAATCATCAATAGCGTGTACAAAGAAGCCATTGTCTTTTTGACAGTTAAAAGTTTCCYAAAAGCCAATCGAATGAAAGTTCTATCACTCTGAGATAAATATACCAAGGTCGTGGCAGCCGTCCGTTCAAGCTCGAGAACTAATCAGCACTCCAACGAAGAGAACAAGAATACCAACAGTTTCAATGGATAAGTTCTTGGAACATTTAGCACCAAAGGCTTTCACCAATCTTCATTTTGTGGCAGTGCTTTTGTGGATCGTTATCGGTGGAACCTTCCTCGCCGTATTCGTCGACATGGATATCAACGAGCCCAGGTTTGATTTCCGCTGCCGTGGGGCGAAGAGTGATAACATCGATTTCGTGCGTGGAAAATGTTACGAGAAATACATAATGGAGCACAACAGATTCGATATCCCTATCTATAGCTTTGCAGTCATTAATTTCTCACTAATCGTCGTTGTTTGTGTTAGTTACTCTATAATAGTAAGACAGAGAGTCGATCAACTGCTTCGAAGCGCCCGTAATGGTGATCCTGAGAGTCAGCCGCTCGAACAAGAGAACGCATCATCAACTGGACGTAAACTTTTTATCGCTTACCTCTGTCAATTATCCACAAGACTTGTCTTAAGAATTATATTCATCATCCTACAAACTCAGCTGCTTTACCCTTTAAAGTTTTCGTCTGATTTTAACTGTTATTTAACCGCCGGAACCAATCAGCTGAAAAATTCATCTGACACCCCCCGAAACTCTACCTTGCACGAATGTCACAATCAACGAGCGGCCAAGAAAACCTCCTGGATGGACGCTGTCCTTTGGGTAAATATAATTTTTTTCGCTGGTATTCTGATTGAAAGCGTCTACATTTTGTCAAGGGCATCGCTGAATAGAAGTTTCATGCAAGACTCAAAGTTTCTAAAAACCTATCTAAATTCCTACCTGATAAAATCTTACAAAAAATTCATCAAACGCATGAGGGATACAATTACTGAAGAGACCCAAGAACTTTTAGAGCTCCAATCACCTTTTTCAGATAATCCAGGCGAAAAAATAACAGCGGTTAAACATTTAACTATGGATCAGATTTACACAAACCTTGTATTGATTCAGGACAGAGATGAGTATAAATTTCCTAAAAACCGAGAGGAGCAACTCAAAGTTTACCCTTGGTCGCGCGACGAAACTTCATGCCCAAAAAAACTGAAAGACCTCCTAAATAAAGATAGTAATAAAGTTTTGATCATTGGTCGACCCGGAATCGGTAAGACATTCTATTGTACCAAACTTATCAGAGACTGGGCATCTGGTGCCGAAAAACATTTTGATGCTGCTTTCTTCGTCAAATTCAGACGATTCGATTCGGCCGACGAATTAAGCCTCCGGGAACTTCTGATGAAATCCGAGTACTTTCCCACACATCACCTGGATGACGAAGTCTGTTGTCAACTTCTAGAGAACCCTAAAGATGTTCTCATACTCTTTGATGGATTCGATGAATTCAGACATGATCAACACATGGAATCCACTTATCCCAGAGGCATTGACGAGAAAAAGCCGCTCCAAATCCTTTATCAGGCACTTGTAAAGGGGATACTTCTTAAGGGTGCTTCAGTGTTAACCACTACGAGACCTACGGCTTTGTCGAGCATCAAATACCTATCCCAGTCCTTTGATAAAACCTTGGAGGTTTTGGGGTTTTCTTGGGAACAAATCAAAAAATATGTCGAGAACTTTGCCGGAAAGGACAAACAAACACGCCAAACACTATGGCGACACATCAGCAGCAACTTGAATTTGCTTTCGCTCTGTTATGTCCCGGTAAACAGCTTCATCATATGCTCAAGTCTGTATCCAATATTGCAGTCCAACAGTTCCGCTGGTGTTTCCCTCCCTTCCAGATTAACAACCATTTACAAGATTGCAGTGAAAGTGTTTTACTTTAAACGCACGAGAGAAGTCCCCAAGAAATATTTGACTAGCGAACTCTTTGAATCAGATGATTTGCCCGATGAAGTGCCAGAGGAATTCGAGAAACTAGGAAAAGTGGCGTTTGATGGAATTAAAGAAGGAAAGCTGATCCTTGGTGAAAACGAAGTACGCGGAATTGAAGACAGCGCTTTATTTCACCGCCTACCAGACCAACGGCTTAACCACGGATCGCTTAACCGCGAAAAACAATTCTGTTTCATTCATCTCACAATGCAAGAGTTTTTCGCTGCGTGGCACCTAACAAACAAGATGAATGAGACAGAATTACCGACCTTTGTTTTCGAAAACATCCAGGACGGCAAGTGGCAACTCGTGTTTCAGTTCCTAGCAGGACTAATGGACGATAAAGAAAACCAGCAATTTGAGATATTCACCCACCTTTTTCCCGTGAAAACTGAAGAGAGCGAAAGCGAACGCTACAACGAAGACTGGCCAGAGAATCAAGAGAAAACGAAAGTGACCTGCTGGCCGACTGAAAATGGACGAGAATTAGCAGTGACATTGTTAAAATGCATAAACGAAACAAGTAAAATGAACACAGCAGTGCAGAGAAAACTAGAACAAAGTAACTTTAATTGTGTAGATTTTAATCATTGTCACCTCACAGCTGTTGATTGTTCTTCGTTAGTAAACGTAATGGAGAATGTGCGAGGAATTTCACATTTCGATTTGAGTGGCAACAACACGGGGCCTTTAGCAGGTTTAGAGATTTGTAAATTGTTAAAATGTAGTAATTCTCAACTGAGCTGGTTA